CGAAGGCCACCGGCAGCGGGCGGGCTGGAGGGCTTAAGCAGGCAGGGCCGAAATGCACAAGGGCCTGAGCCCCAGCTTGCTCCGCACCCAGCACATCCACACAGCAGCTGCAGGGGAGATACCAGGGGCGAGAAAGGTTTCATCAGAGAGCTCCTGTCATCAGCGGGAAACGTGTCGGTGAAGAAAACGATGTGATGGAAAGACACCGTCACTGCGAGGAGGGCAGTCATCGGGGGCGAGAAAGGTTTCATCAGAGAGCTCCTGTCATCAATGTCGGCGAAGAAAACGATGCTATGGAAAGACACCGTCACTGCGAGGAGGGCAGTCCTCAAGCATCACCAAAGAGAAACAGAGCCATTAGGGGCAGGCCCTGTCCTGGAGGGAAAACACCACAAACCCTGGGTCCCTAGGCCTCCGTCCTGAAGCTCAACGTCACACCTGCCATAGGCTGTGTCCCCCAGAATGAACATTTTCGACCCCGTGGTCTCCTCCAGTCGTGCAGCCACAACCCCAGCATCTCCCAGCAGTTGGTCGGGGAACTGCAAGGCCACCTGTAAGCATAAATCGTGGAGTCAGAAACGGCCTCTCCTCCACCGAGGGTCGTCTCTTCAAGGAAAACCTTCCGGGAGTCCCCACCCACCCAACCTTCAAAGCCTCTCGTCCCAGAGAAGCACCTCACCCCCTCCCCCGCCATCCGCACAAAATTACCCCGAGACCCCGATCCTATGGGCGACCCATCCGAGAGGTGAGCCATCCTCCCCAACCTGCCCTCACCCGCTGGCACGCCAGGTCACGGACAAACCCGACGACTCGCTGCAGCTCGTACACTCGGTCCAGGTCCGCGAGAGGCGTGAGCAGCCCGGCGGCCCCCGCCTCCCGCTGCAACGCGGCCTCGGCGGAGCTGCTGAATGTAGACTCCATGAGGTACAGCTTAGGTGGCGAGAAGCAGCGGGGATCCCTCGGCCTCCGCGTCCTCAATGGGTCACAGTCCTTTGATGAGCGCGGGGAGCTTGGGACTCAGGCCGCCAGCAGTGGAACAGCTAGTCGCGCATCCAAAACTCCCGTTCCTCGCTACACGTGACCCAACCGGAGATTACTTCCGGGTCTCGAGGCGGGGCTGATAGCAACTTTACCAATCTCAAACCAGCACGGCTCCGGCTCTCCAATCGCCGCCTACCAAACCGCCCATCGGCCTCACAGCACAAGGCCAACCGGAAGTACTTCCGGGGGAGATGCGGAGCCTTGTGGGTATTGTAGTTCCTCTAGCTCTCCTCTCCAGCCGCAGGGAGTTTTCTGGTTCAGCCCACTGCCTACTCTCAGAAACACCCATTCCCTGAAAATAATTACTCCAGTTTGAGCAACTCCAACTTCTCCATGGCTGTCTCCTAATCTGCAGAATGGGGCTTGTAGCAATAGTACTCCTAATAGGATTGTTGGGAGTCTAAACAATTTAGACATAAAACCTTACAAGTAGTCCTTTGCATATCACATGTACTGAAAGCATTGCTATTACCCGCAGTCGGTCAGGTAGGCAAACATTGAGTATTACTGTTCACCAGGCACTATACATCCTCAGAGTTTACAGTCTCTGGAGTAAGCATTGTCCCATTTTATAGGTCAGGAGGCTGAGATTCAAAGAAGCTAACTACCTGTCTAATAAGACACAGCAAGTCAGTGGCACAATCTATCAAACCTAGGTCTTATTTCAGAAGCTGGGCTTTTGACTTCTCATTCTCCTAGCTCATGTGCTACACTGGTCATGGGGGAGGGGTAGAAAAGGAGGAAGAAGCACTGGATAGCATGTAGTAGAAGAGAATTGAGAAATCAAGAGTAAGGTGAGACTCGAGCAGGGGCAGGGGGACAGAGTGGCCTCAGGGGATGGCACATGAAAGGCTGGCATGGGAAGAGATTGATCGAGGATGAAGAATAGACACAGAATTTGTGCAAAAGTTGGGAAAAGAACAGGGGAAGGAATATAAAAGTAATCAGTTCTATCATCTCTAAGGAGACTCAGGTTCACGACAATTTGGGGAGAACCCAGGCCCATTCTCAGATCTCACTGAGAAGAAGGCTGGGGTGCCTGAGAGGCAACCCAGATATAACTGTGACTGAGGAGACAGAAAGGAAGGGGACGGTGCAAAGGGAGAGCAAGTGACAGGAGCTGTCCCTGGTGCTGACCAAGCCCTGACCATCACGTTGGGGACTTAGAAGTATACAGACAACATTAGGTCCCGCCTTCCTCTTCCTCTGGGGTCTGCAATGCCTCCTCCCACACATACTCAGTTCCACTTTCTATACCTCTCACCAACCATGTACAAGCTTGGGTGCCTCCATAACCCCACACCAGAAACCCATCCTGAAATTCAAAGCCACTCTCCAATTCTTCCCTCCCAACTGGACCCAGCCTAAGTCCCAAGTCCTCTACCTCAGAAGCCTCCTATTTATATCAGAAATAAAACTTCCTGCCCAGCCAGCATGGTTGAGTGGTTGAGCATCAATCTATGAACTAGGAGGTCACGGTCAGGGCACGTGCCTGGGTTGCAGGCTCGATTCCCAGTGGGGGGCATGCAGGAGGCAGCTGATCAGTGATTCTCTCTGATCACTGATGTTTCTATCTCTCTCTCTCCCTCTACCTTCCTTTCTGAAATCAGTAAAAAAAAAATTTTTTTAAAGAAATAGCCCAGCTGGCATGGTTGAGCATTGACCCATGAAACAAGAGGTTATGGTTCAATTCCTGGTCAGGGCACATGCCCGGGTTGAGGGCTTGATCCCCAGGAGGTATACAGGAGGCAGCTGATCAATGATCGCTGATGTTTCTCTCTTATTAATGTTTCTCTCTCTCCCTCTCTCCTTTCCTCTCTCTAAAAATCAATAAAAACACTTAAAATAAAATAAAACTTCCTTCATGCAGCCTTCACGGTCCCATTCTCCCAGCTTAGCATAGTAAGTATAGACTAGATCAGCCTTTGTCTAGACAGAACAAAGCAGAACTAGGAACTCAGTACTCAACACTGTTGATTAAATAAATGTATGCATTCATGAACATGGAACTAATTTAAAGGGGAGAGGGTGCTGATACTACTGCAATCCCCATCCCACCCCAAGAGCAATGGCAACATTCTGAGTGGCTCTGGCAGTATCTCTTCCACCCTAGGAGACAGAGGTGGGCTCTACCACTCCTTATCAAGGCCCGGGTCCAAGCATCCTCCCATCCTTATCCCAGGCCTTCTGGGTCATCCAGTTAGGTGGCGGTGGCAGTAGAAAGGAAGCAGAGACAATGGTGCAGTGAGGGTCCAGGTTTACTCTTTGGGGATAGGGAGGAGTGAGGAGTGGGTGGGACGGGAACGCCCCTCAGTAGTCGGCTGTGTAATCTGTGCCATGTAGTCCCCTGCACAACAGTGTGAACTCCTTCACCATCTCCTTTACCCGCCTCTTGTTCACTCGCTCGCTGAAGGAGAGAAGGGAGACCAGGTTAGCACCATCCACCACTACTTCATCTTCTCTTTCAGACCTGAGCCCAGGCCCCACCAGCTCTGCTCACCGAAGGATCTGCTGGCTGAAGGTGTCCTTCTGTTCAGGGCTGAGGCGGGCAGAGGGAAAACCAGGTGGCTGCAGTGCCTCCTTGATCCACATGCTCAGGAGGCTGAAGCAGTGTTTGTTCAGAGCAAATAGGATGTCGGCAAAGCAGTCCATGAGGCTGCGGGAGGCTTGGCCCCCAATGGCCTGAGGAAGACAGGTTCTCAGTACACCAGGGCCTTGTCCTTTCTGCAGCAAGGGTGCTGAACCATGCCCCACCCCCCTCAGACAGTTCCTCTGCCAAACTGCATATGACAAGTGAGTGCTGCTTTTTGAGAGCCAACTCTGACAACTTTCAGACATTTAAATGAGGAAGAAACAGAATCAGAGAGTTTAGGGAACCAAAGGCTCAAGATTCCCAAAAGGGCAGCTGCCACAGAAGCAAGGGCTACCGTACCCACATCAAGCGCCCCCCTGCTCCATCTCACCTCCAGCACTGCTATGAGCAGCATACGGCCATCCTCCTGTACTACCTTTCCCACGGGTTCTACTTCCCCACATCGAGGCAGTAGCTCTGTCTGCAGAGGATAAAGAGGCCTGTCAGCCCAGCTCCTTCAGTATACCACACCCCTACCCTCTGGGGTCCCAGGGGTGGTGGGGGGTCAGGGGCAGCATGGGACTCACAAAGAAGCCACAGGAGGCCTTGACAGTAGGTGCCTCAGGGAACTTGAGGGCCAGCACAGCTGTGGGAGAGGCAGAAGCAGATCAGATAGAGCCTGAGGATCCTCCCAAGGGGGCCCCAGGCCCACTTGTCCAACTGCCCCACTTACCACACTGGAACACAGCTTTGACATCCAACCGTTCACACAGGAACAAATCTGGCTTCCGCTTCAGAGCCTGCAGGAGGTGGAGCTGGTAAGCCCAGCCCCAGCCAGCTGCAAAGACCACCCCCCCACTCACCTGCCACCCCAGGGCCCAACTTCACACACCACAGGTAGATGCTGTCAAAACCAACTACCCAGCCATCTCTGGGGACACAGGCCATCCCAGAGTTCCAGAAGCCAGGAGAGGAGCAGCCAAGGAATGCTGTGTACATGTATGTGTACATGAATGCACAGTGTATATGAGAGAGGTTGGGGGTCGTAAGGCAGATAGCTTGGGTCCCAAGTTACTCCCTGAGCAAACACCTTCCCCTCTCCCCTCCATCAGGGCCAGATTCCTGCAGGCTCAAGTACCAGCAGGGATTTCTCTTGATTCATAGAGGCAGTTTAGGCCCCCTGTATTTATTAACAGAGAAGCAGGAAGAAGAGATGGCAACTGGATGTGGAACACAGTCCAACAGCCTCCTCCCATGTCCTGTCACTCCCCAGACACCCTTTAGATCAGAAAGAGGAAAAATAGGGTAGGAGCCTTGGAGCCATGGCCCTACCTTTCACCCAGGATACCCTGTGTCCAGGGCCATCACAGCCATACCCAGCCCAGGAGCCGGGTTGCCATGTGGGGGAATGGATGGAGTACAGGGGGCAGAGAGCCCGCCCCAAGTGGTACCAGGACATGACTGGCACATCCCCAGGTCACAGGAGATGCTCTGCACAGCTCCAGCAGTCATCAAATACTGCTGTCCCCCAGCAGCCTCCCAAGGCATAACACACAGGCCCCTAACTCTCCAGCCCCTCACATACCTTCCAGTCTGCCATATTCACTCACACGCACCCTCATGGAAACACCCTACTCACCCTCAAACACACTTCCCTTACACACACACACACTCTCCCACATTTGCAATGCACCCTCACTACATATTCACACACTCAAACCGCCACATCCCCAAACCAGCTCCACACCCACACCCTCAATCTACCAATCTTCCAGCACGTGTACTCTCTCAACACATCCATCCACAAATACACACTCAAGCACCCTCACCCACAAAGATACACCCTCACAGACACCCACACACCTATCCATCCAGGCCCAGAACACTCCCTATTCCCCACGCTTTTACCCTGCCCCCCAAACAAACTATAAGTTACAAAACAGTAAGAACCGTGCCGCTTTTGCGCACCATTATATCCTCAGCACCTAGCAGAGTATCAAGCATGTATTACACAATAAATATTTGTGGAATGATTAATAAAAACCCCCACATTATTTACCTTTACCCACAGGACCCCCCCAACCTGCAGAAGCCCCCTAACACACAGAACTCCCATATGCTAACCTCACGTTCCCACAGCTCAACACATATCTTTTCCAAAACACACATATCCTGATACAGACCTACCGATACCACAATATATATACCTATCCTCCATAATACACATTCCCACAGCCCAACATGCACATGCCTCCAACACAAATCAACATTCAAAATCCATCAATGCCTAACACACATCAACATAAAACACACACCAACACACATATCCACATGTCAACTACAAATCCAACATAATACTCATACTACTTACAGCAGTTACATGACTTCTGTTCTCACCAAACCAAACTCAAAACATACAAAGTTCTGACACACTTATACACACATACAACCTAACACGGTCTCACAGTGGAGCCAGCACCCCACCTCCCAGAAGCAGCACAACCTGTCCAGCAGCCCGGCTCTGGGCTCTGGGCTCCACGGAAGCACATTCATCTCAGCCCCTCCCTTCGGAGCCTACCTCTCAAGAGGAGGCTGGAGGCACTGAGGCAGGCAGTTCCCGGCAGGAGCACGGGGACAATGAACCCCAGGCCCTTGAACTTCAGTTCTACCCCTGAACTTCTTGGGCACCCCAGCCGCACAGGAGCTGCTGGGCACAGTGACCACCCCCTCCCCTCCTGACCCCCACCAGGCCAGCCCACTGCCTCCCTTCGGGGTCAGCCTCTCCCTGGTCTCTGTAGAAGACTGAGCTAGCTGAGGCAAAGGGGCACTAAAGGAGGATGTTGGGTTGTCAACTTCCACGGAAACAGATGAAGAAACTCTATTCAACTGAACAGAAAAAAAATTTGTCAACAGAAAGCTAAAAATAGGCTTAAATTGAATTTCAACATAAGAGAAAGAGAAAGAGAGAGAACAGAACGTGAATGAATAAAACTAAAACACACCTGTGCCAGGAGTTGCATAAATGAATCAACAATATCAGGATGATCCCTGGGCCCTAAAATATAATAAAGATGGAACTTAAGAAAAAATTATACAAACAGCAACTCAACCTCATATAGTTATGTGGGACTGAGAGCCTGCAGGGAGACAGCGTGGGGGCACATGAGCAGCAGGAAGCAAGATAAAGAAACAAAACATACAAAAACCATGAACTGGGAGAAGCCCAACAGAAAGAGACGGCAAAGTGAAGGACGGGCCTGCCCCAGTTCCCTCCCAAGGGGCCTTCCACCTACTCCCCGCTCCTCTAGGTCAGTCCCCCAAGTTGTCCTGTGGTGCTGGAGCAATGCTGGACTCCACGGAGCTGAAGAAACAGCCCCTGAATTCTTGCTTCGGCTTCTGGCAGTTTGGGGTGGCCCTAAGCTGCTTCCCCATCACTAGCCATCTGACAGGAGGGCAGAGCTGGTTGGTTCTTGGTACCTCCTTTGGAGGCGGGCTGAAGGCCCTGAAATGGCCAGGGAACAGAACCTGAGTGGGTGCCCCCTCACTTCAATGGCCTTAGTGCTCTTGGTCTGGCCAAGGAAGGGAACCTACTGGGTCCACTTAAACCAGAGGGCTCCTTCTTGGGGAGGGCAGTGCCCAATATGCAGTGGGGATGGCCAGGCAACCCATTGGCAGGGCCTAGGGAAGGAGACTGCCTCTTGAGGCCAAACATGAAAGTCCCACCCAGCAAAGCCCCTCCACATGGACAAGGACTCAGCAGAGAGCCAGGCTCAGGGCTGAGGACCAGCTCCCACCACCAGCCCACAGTTAATGTGTCGCCCCATGGTGCAGTGGAGGGCAGAGCCCGAGGAAGGGAGGGCAAAACTGGGACAGCATACAGGTGAGGGGACCATCCTGTCCAGCAAGACAACCAACAAGCCCAACAAATAGGATGCTGGACACTATTCTGCCTCCAGTTCTGATAACTGTGGCAAGGACACGGCATGCGCCTGGAGCTCCTGCCCAGGCCACTCCACTCTCAGTTGCAGACACAGCAGGAACACCTGCCTGAGACACCACTAAGGAGCTGTGTGATCTTGCGCAAGCCACCAACACTTGGTTTCCCCACTGTAAAGCAGATAATAATCTCTTCCTTGTTTCCTTCTCCAGGCCACTGATAAAGCCCGCCCCTTTCACATCTGAACCCCGAGTTACTCAAGTCCTGGAAAGTGAGGCCTGATGTGCCCCAGGCATGGGTCACCTGCAGACAATAGGTTTGATATTCAACAGTCGCCCTGCTGGCGTGGGCCAGACAGTGAAGGAGAAAGATTCTGAGGTCAGGGAGCCCTCACCCCTCTTTCTTTAACAGTGTTTGGTACCTTCTCCATGTTGGCCTCATTCTGGACACTGGGGATGCAGAAAGACCTAGCCTTGTCCTTCAGGGGCTTAGTTTAGGGAGAGGGAAAGGGACAGACGTGAAGGCAGATTATTGAGTGTAATTGGCGCTGTATCAACAGTGTGTACATGATGCAGTTTCAGCAGGAAGTTAGATTCAGAGAAGCTTCTGAGGAATGATGCATGGGTAAGGTGTGAAGGAACGAGAGCTCACCCAGTAAAGGGCTGCAGGGTGCAGAATGGATTGGAGAGAAGGGCAGATGCCAGGAAAACCAGTCAGAAAATTGTTGAGGTAATCCGGACACCCTATACCGAGACTTTGGACATGGAGGGTGGGGAGCAGGGGACAGACTGTGGGATAATCAGGAGGCAGGACCACCAAGACTTGTCTCCAACTAGATAGGAGGAGTGAAAGGAGTAGAGTTGAGGATACCCACATCTGGCCTTCTGGCTCAGCTTTCTCCACACTTTGGACCTACCCAGAGCCCACCGCAGCAGAGGCCAGTGTCATGTGACCAGACACCAAGGACACAAGCAGAGAGCACTCTGGCTCCAGCTGAGACCCTTGGTGAGCCTCAATCCTGCAACCACGAGTCCAGGCACGATTCATGAGGCTGGTGGAGAGCAGTGAGTTTCATTTCCAAGTTAGAAGCCTGGTTAGACAGCAGGGGAAGCTTGGAGCTCCCTTTTGCCAATTCTCTCAGGCTAAGGGCCAGTGAATGGGGACAGGGGGTGGGACCACAGCCATAGGCTTTTGGCCTGGAAGGGAATAAACTTTATGTGTAAAAGCCCCAAGCCAAAGGCCCAAAAGATGCTACTTAATGCCCACAATAATCCTATCAAATATAAGAAATCTCCATTTCACAGATATGGAAACAAAGGCTCTACAAAGGTAAGTGACTTGCCCAAGGTCACACAACTAGTTGGTGGTGATGAGCTTAGAATCTAGGTGTGCCTGATTTCAAAGCCCATGCTCTTTCTACTTTTCATTATATCCCAAAGAAAAGGAGCCAGCCTGGTACCCAAGCCCCTCAGAGCTTCTGGCCCCATCTTTCCCATCATCCAGACTGGCCCCTAGCCCAGCAGGCCAGTAGAAGACATCATTCACTCTCTTATCCACTTCAATCTAAGGTGTCAACTATTTGCAAGGTTGACAATTATGCTGTGCTCGATCCCATAAGTTTCCCATCAAGTCCCATGTGCAACTCAGGGGACAGAGGAGAACATAGTGGGCAGCTTTGGCTCCCCAGTCAGGGAAGCAGAGGCAGTGGCAGTGGCGGCGGCAGCAGAGACCCTGGTCAGGACCTACCTTGCTGGAAGAGAGTGAGTGTGACGGAGGTGACGAGCAGGAAGAGGGCCTCGATTGGGGGAAAGTGGGCAGGCTCGTGGGCAAAGATGTGGACCAGCTACAACAAAGCAAGGAATGCTGGTCAGCTGAGGCCCTGCATCACCAAGATACGCCAGCATCCCTGGAATGCAGATGAGGACCTCTGGCAGGGCAACCATCAACCCACTCCACCCACCTACCCCATCCTGGTCAGATAGATCTCTAATTAGGATGAAATCCAGAAGACTGTTGTCCTAATCAGAAGGCCCACCTGTCGAGTGAGGTCAAGAGCAGAGGCCTGGGGGATGGTGCTGTACATCCGACCCAGCATCTCACACAGCTGTGGCACCATGGGGGCAAAGTCATCCAATAGCGTCTTAACAGACTTCTCGAAAATAGCGCACACCGCCTTGGGAGGAAGCAAAGGGGCCCATGAAAGAGAAAAAAATATTGTATTATAATCATCAAATTTGCTAAGACACTAGATCTTAATTATTCTAACTACTAAAAAGAAATGCTAATTATGTGACACGATAGAGGAGCTAATTATGGCTATAATGGCAATTTTATCGTGTTACAATATAGAAATGTATCAAATTAATATGCTGTAGACCTTAAATTTACACATTGTTATATGCCATATATATTTCAATTGGAAAAAAAAAGAAAAAGAAAAGGGGCCCTGGTCAGCAAGTCACAATAGGCTGGAACAGAATGGAGGCCTGGCACAGAGGAGGCCTAGAAGGGGCCCTTACCTATGAGCCTTTCCTGGCTCTGCGAACCAAGGAAGGTAAGGAAGTCTCACCCTCACCCTGAAAGGCAGGAGGCAAAAAGGCCCTTTTCAGAGGGGCACAGATGGAACTTTGTAACTCTTCCTACTCACATCTCCACTATTTCCTCTCAGGGAGCAGCAACAGCAACAAAATCCTGAATTAAAAAGAGACCAAAGGCAGGTCTCTGATGCGAAAGTGGATCCCTGACTGTCACTCAGCCACATCATAGTCCTTTGGTTGAGCATTTCTTGTGATACTGGGAAGTTCTGAATGCCTTCCCAGAGGATTCCTTGTATCTATGGAAAAGGATTTGCCTCCTTTATTTCCTCAAGACCATCACAAGCTTAAGTGGGGCAGCAATACCTTCCTCCTGCTCCACCTCTGAGAAAAGTCACCATGGGGCAGAGAGCAAGGGTTGGGGCTCACCTCCACCACCTGGGCATCATTCAGCCATTTGCTCAGCACCTTCTGGATAAGCTGGAAGACCTGCTGCAGCACCACTACCACCTGCAGACACAGGAAGAAGATGCCCCCACAACCACTGTCACCCACTGGAGAAGGACCTGGTAGTAGGAAGTAGGCCAGGAGTTCAAATTCAAACCTATTACCCCAGACTGCGTATTGAAGACTCAATGCATGGGACCCTGGCAGAAGGAGTGTTTGCTCAATGCGCTATGAATGAAAGAGGATATTTGAGTTCTAGGGATCCTCTTAGAAGAAGCCTCAAATTGTAAAGCAGGGATATTATGAGTGCTTCATAAGATTACTAAATTGTAAGGGTTATCGATTGGGTGGAGGTGAGAAAGATATACAGGGGATAAATGGTGATGGGACAAATAAAAAAATAAGAGGAAAGAGGAAAAAAAAGATTGCTAAAACTTTGCAACTTCCTCTCTATTTCTGCTCAGTAAAACTCTTAGTGCCAAAAGCCTACAGGCTTGCCCCAGATAGGCTTAGAGTAGACAGCCCAA